ACAACATTTTAGGAGTGTGTTTAGACCTGCAAACTAGGGTTCATTGGAAATTTCTGGATTTCCTTTCTCTGGAAGTTAATTGCTTCTCTAGTTAAGTAAGAATAAGTGATAAAAATGCCCATCTAATGCCTTTCTCATCACAGAAAGATGCTACAGAAAGGGGCAGTTTTGTCTGATAGCACCCCATACAAAGTGAAGATTCTGTGGATTAGAAGCAAGAATGGGATATGAGAAAAATCTTGACTCTGGAATTTGGCCTAAGTACATAAAGACATAACTCTCAGTTTAACTGATCCCATTTGAAAGATGCATTTGTTAAACACACTACTTGTCGTTTAGGACAAAGGATACAAAAGGAAAAGAAATCTCAATACCTCCAGAGGGAACATTTTTTCTTGTTAGACTATGTATATAGGGTATGGCTAAAAGCCTTTATAATGATAATGCCAGGGAATAGAGCCTCCACATGCACGTTAAGTTATGTACTTTCTATCTGGCTGTATGAATGCAGTGATTTGTGGGACAAGGGTTGATCCATGGTGTTTCCAAATCTATCTTGTAATGAGTCAAACTTAGTACCTGCTTCTGCTCTGTGAGCGTGTCAGAGCTTAAGATGGTGTGGGAATATTGTGTTGAATTTACTAGAATATATTATTATAAAGACGAAAACTAGGGGTGTGTCCTTATAAGAGACTGACAGATTAAGGGAAGAGAACCTGCCTTTCTTCCATTTGAGTAAAGGTAGAATTAATTCCAACAGAAAGAATGGCAGTTGAATGGGAGAGGGAATGAAGAAAACTAGTTATATGAGGTGGCTGTAAAATAATGAGATAACTTTTAAGCACATATCAAGTCAATATTTGAATTGGTGCTGTCCTTTAAAATTACCTTGAAAGCACATATCGGCATTCCAGGGATGTTGCCACTGCTCAAAATATCATGGGCACTACTCATGGAGATTTTTCTCGTTACTCTTTATAGTATAGTTTTATGGTTAAACTCACTTCATAATGATGACAGACTATGACATTATTTTTATTCCTTTGCCTGTTTGTAAATGGACAGAAGAAATACCATCCCATGGATCAATGTCTCCCCATCATCAGCTTTTATATACTGATGGCATATTCTTTGAGCATTCACAGAAAAACTACTATGTGGTGGCAGCAATGTGAATACAGCTCTTTGCTCTCAAGTGCTCAGCTCTAGATCTCTCTACTCAAAAAGATTAGGGCACACAGTTAGGATCAAAGTCTTTCTTATAAAGTGATTCTGACAGAACAGTGACCAGAGATAAAGAAAGTCCAGGTACCAGGCAAGTCTCTAAAGAAAATTTCTTGCCATGAGTAAAAAATGCTGTTGGGGCTCATCTGATGAGACACAGGTGTTGCTTTGATATACATAACACTTTGCAGCACTATTTATTATAATATGATTTTATCTGTTTTGTTAGATTGAACACAAGAAGAATGTTAGATGGGTTCCAGTAAGGGAAATTTTCAGTTAATTCAGCTGGAATTTGGAAATGTATGCGATTGCTCTCAACACATCATTCTGTAAACACATATTTGTTGGACATATGATGTGTCTGTTAGGCATGGTTCTGGATGTTCAAGGAACAGTGATATACAAGACAGATCTGATCTTTACCTTGTTAATGTGTATATTCAGATATTTAAAAAAAAGATAGTAAAGAGTGACAAGTTATATAGGGCTATTTTAAGGCCATGAGAACATATTGTAGGTGTACTATATAGTCTAGAGGCCTTTAAAAAGTGAAGGAAGAGTGTCATTTAGGGATAAGGAAGGTGGAGGAAGAACATTTCATGTGAAGAGAATGGAAGGTACAGAAACCTGTAAGCAAGAATCTAGCAAGGTACAACTGAACTGAAAGAAGTATCTAAAACCTGGGAGCTCTTTAGAGCTAACCTGTAAACCCTAATAAAAGTTGCTTCAAAAACCTTTGTAATGCATGCAATGTAATGTAATGTTGGGGAAGCTAGGAGTGGAGATTTGCGACAGCATTGGGAATAAAGTTGCTGCTCCGTCAAGGTCCGTGCTTGGGGAGCTGTCCAGGACGTGAGTGCTGAATAGCTAAAGCCAGAACCTGCCTAAGGAAGCAGGTGGTACAGGAGGAGCCAATGCTTACCTAAGGGTTGGGGGGAAGAGAGTTTGTCTTTGTTATTTATCCATTTTCCTTATCTTTCCATTATACATTTCCTTCCTCTCCCTCTCCCTCCTCCCATTTTCATTTTCTGGCACCTTGGCAGCCATAGCTCACTCTCCCTGGAAGGAAAAGGAAGAATGTGTTTCTTGCTCCTTCCCCTTAGAAGGAGTCTACACAACACTGATGACAGCAAATTCAGAAGAACACCCACTTCTATAATCTTAGGGTTGCAGGACTGGTTATTATTGCTGAATGGGCCATCCCAGTCTCTTCTGAGGTATCAGGTGGGGAGATATTATTATTATATTAATTATTATTATTATATTATGAGTTATTATTAGTAGTTATAACTGACTGAGCACTTACTGTGGGCCAGAAAGTTTACCAAGCACTTTACTACTCTAAGCCTCAGACATAAACTTTGTTATCTCTGTTTTATATAACATGGATTGACTTGGAAGATCAGTGGTTGTGACTTGTGCTATTTTTTTTTCAATAAGTTATTTGAAGCTGCATAACTGAGGGATGAGGATGGAGGATGTGGAAAATAAAATTTATTGATACTTATTATATATAGATGCTTTTGACAGTCATTTTATTTAGTATCATAACAACCCTGTGAAGTTGTACTGTGATTATACTTACTTTACAGATGTGGCCACCAAGGCTCAGAGAGGGTCAGTGATTGGTTGGGGTCACATAACTAGTGAGTGCCTGAGACAGTTTTAAACTTGGGACTATCTGATCCTAAAGCCTATGCTCTTTCATCCACAGTGCTTTTTTAGTTTTATGGCCAGTCACCTCTACTGGTAAGTGATTTTAGCAACTGAAAACTCCCTCTCCTGCAGTTCCATTTACCTCTGGGTCTTGATGCCTTCTATATCATCTTTTGCTCTGGGTGGGGCGAGTAGCTTCCTACATCAGAGCATGTCAGTGGTGTGCAGGCTCCTGGTGAATGGTGGCACTTGTGTGTTCTGTAATTGCACACTTATTAGGTCACAAGACATCATCAAGCCAAGCTGGCCTTTGTCTGAATCCCCACTGGACAGATTGGTCTCAGTACCAATATTGGAAATGTCAGTCTGGTAAACAGCCTTTAATAGGTTGGAGGGAGGCTGAGAACAAAGTCTTCTTCAAACGAAACTCTCGAGGATGGGAGTGAACAGAGTCAACATCTTACTTGCTTTAAATCCCCTGGGGTGGTTATGAAAGACAGAGGACTTGCTGGATTGAGGAGAAAAAAAATGCTTTGATTCATCTGAATTAATTTAGCATCTCCCAGGAGGAAGGGCTCTGGCATCACCTTCCTGTTCTCCATCCCTTGCATACAACTCTCACAATCCCAGAGGACAAAAGACCAGTCTGTGGTATGGAATGCTCACACTGCCCCTTCCTCTATTTTAATTAAATCCATTTGTCCTAGGGTAGCACTGTGCCTCAGGATGTCCAAGGGCTTTGATCCTTAACCCCCACACATTTGAAGGAGTGGGAAACTGGTGCTCAGAGTGAGGAGAATCGCTTCTCCTTATGACACCACAGCTGAAGTTATGAGCTCTTGGAAATAGCAGACTCTGTGAAGTTTGGGTGAAGAATATGAGACCCAGCTTTATCCTTACAAAGCTCCATGCCAGCTGGCATCACCCTCACCTTGCCTTCAGTCCTTTGTCCTCATTTTTCAGAGGTGAATCCATCAGGATGGTAATTTGGATGGGTTTTTAAGAGTCTAATGCAGAGGTGCTAGGGGTGCTGGGTTTGATATTTAGCCTGTTTAAGTTGGTTTTCCTCCTCCGGATCCACTTATCTGCCCCCATTTATAGAAATAACTCCCACCCTCTGCCCTCTGTCTATTTTGGTCTGGAACAGATTAGTGCACCAACCATTGAGGGTGCAGTATGATTCATCAGGGAGTCATGTGAGCTGCTGTGCTAGGCTAGGCACTGCTTGCTCCCAGCTGGCTGCAGATGGCAGACTGGTGCCATCCCGGGGAGACAAATGGCAGTTGATGTCAGTGGTTACTGCTTCATTTCAGAGCCACACAAAGTCAATGATCTTCTAGTCCAACTCTCTCAGCTTAAAGATGAGGAAACTAAGACTTAGAGAGGTTCAAAGCTACTAGTGTAGAATTCAAATAGGAGTCAGAGCCTCTGGTAGAATCACTCCTCTGTTTACTGAAGAATTTATCATCTCCTTTATCTACTTGCTTCAGGGACCTCACTCTACAAAGCCCTGGACTTGAACTGACCTGAGCACCAGTCCTCACTCCGATGCCAACCTGCTTGTCCTGTAACTCTTTGGTTACAGGATGAGATGAGAATCTTGTGAAAGGACAGGAATGGAACATGATGAGGTCTGTACTACCTATGTCACAGATTTTGTTGTTAATAAGGGATAAATAAAATGTCAAATGGGAAAGTAAGGTGAAATGCATTAATTAAGAGAAAATATTATATACATATAAAGACTGATTATTATGTGGCAGTAATACGTGTTGTTCAAAGTCATGAGTATGAGTTTTATTTCATCCTACTACAGACACTGGAGGCAGCCAATCAGGCCAGGCCAGAGATGCAAGAGATGAGTGCTCATTAGCATGGAAATTAGCATGGAAACTCAGTGCTCCCTATAAGTCTGCAGAAAGTGTGCATGTATGTGTGTGTGTTGTGTGTGTGTGTGTGTGTGTTGTGTGTGTGTACATATTTGTGTACACGCACATGTATGTGCTCATCTGGATGCATGTCTTGGGTAAAGGGGATGGGGAGAGGAAAGACATGACACCTTTCTGCATCTTGGTTGATAGAAGAAAAGAGAGGGACAGAAATGAGTGGCAGCTCACCTGTCAGCCACATCGAGAAGAGGTAGCACCGTCCACTGCCACAGGCTCAAGCCTTCATTGGTGGCAACATGCCAGACCGTTCTGCTTTGTTCCTTCCCAGTTTTATTCTCTACCAGCACCAAGGAGATGTTTCCCTGCAAGACTCCACGGATGAGCCAGGCCATTCGGAGCTGCAAGGGAGAAAAGAGCCAGAAGGACAAGAGTTAATGTTAAAAGGAATCTTTGGTCCCCTTCCTGGAATTCTCACCTGAAGCCTCAAGGATGTTGTTGGACACTCAGCCAAGGTATGCCCAGTGAGGAAAGCTGGTGACTAACTGATCTTGCTCACTGTCTCCCCAAATGGCTCTCATTAAGATTCAAGGAGCTGGGCAGAGGCAACTATGGACAATTTTGTTCAGGTTGATCCTAAGTTTCACAAGATTATGCATTTGAGGTGATACTAAGATCAATGGGATAAAAATGAACTTCTTAAAGGGATCCAAGGATGCTTGTCTGTGGCCCCAATTCACTTTGTGACCTTGGACAAGTGATTTTATGACTCAATTTCTTTAATGCCTTATGTATCATAGATTTTTCTTCCTCTCCCAGACTCTAATACTCTTATTTGAATGATACCATGCCATGTGTTAGCTAACCAGAGACTCTATGATTTGATACTTATGGCCATAAGTATCAAACTGGTAGGCAAAGGCAGGACAAAAATCTACTTATTGAGATACTTTATGATGGTTGCCTTTCAGAATTATGATGTCTACTTTGACAAAAGGAAGCTGCAATCATATATTTTCTTTTCTTTTCTTTTCTTTTTTTTTTTTGAAACAGAGAGACAGAGCATGAGCCGGGGAGGGACAGAGAGAGAGAGGGAGACACAGAATCTGAAACAGGCTCCAGGCTCTGAGCTGCCTGCACAGAACCCGATGCAGGGCTTGAACCCACAAACCACAAGATCATGAACTGAGCAGAAGTCAGACGCTTAACCAACTGAGCCACCCAGGCGCCTCTGAAATCATATATTTTCATTGTGTCTTTAGGAAAGTTTCCTATGGCATTGTTCCTTAGATGTTTGATAAGAGACTGTAGCAAATATTTCTAAAAGAGTTTAAGTGCAGTCATGTCCAGAATAAGTATATGTTATAAACAAGGCCTCTGGTATTTTTATTTGATAGAAACAACCTGTAAGCTTAGGATGATTATAGCATATAATAGCCCCAAATATTTCTGTTTAGATCCTGTAATAAAAAATGGCTATTGTGGAATGGAAGGCAAAGTATGTCCTATGGCAACTGGAGTTTTCATCTGCTATGTGTCCCCTTTTCTTTGATTCTCATCGTTTGAAGACATTCTTTTCTGTAAATCACCATTCCTTTGTCTCCCACTCCCTAAGGTCATGGTTTCATTACAGTTTGATCAAAGAGGTCGCATACGATGAACTTCCCACTTTGTTGCATATTACCTCTTCACTAACAAGGCCACACTTGGCACTGGGTGCCTAGGTGCTGTTTTATTTCTGAGCCTGAGTCAGGCAAGCCTGGTCTATAACCATAACCTCTTCACTTATACCTTTCCCATTTCCCAAATCTGGTGTAGTAAATACTTGTCTCCAATGAGTACTCCCAGGATAATTTAACAAATCTGTTAACAGTTTTTTTCTGCCCTCACATGGCTTCCTTGTACAATCTGGTTGCCATGACTAGAAATTTTAATCCTACCACTCCTAACTAACCCCTCTCAGCCTTTAGCCCATGCCCAGTGCCCTGCTTGGAATATTGTTTGCTATATCCCTTCTGTCCTTTTGCTTCTTGGCTACAGAATATTTGCTGATTTGGACTTGTGTGAAATCAGACTCTTGACCCTCAATGCTCTGGATGGTTGTTGGTACTTATTAATCCACTGTTGATTTCTGCAGTTGATTTGTGAACACAAATAGCACAATGGGTGTTTCAAACTCTTCCTCAAACACTAATGCTGTTACCTCTTGGTCCAACTCCTGATCCATTATTTTGATTTTTACTTTACTGACAAAGATTTACTGTATTGGGTGCAATCTCCTTCAGCCTCTCTGCCTCCCTCCCTTCCTTCCCTTCTTTTCCTCCTTCCCTTCCCCTCCCCTCCTTCCTTCCCCCACCTCCTCCTTCTCCTTGTTTTCCTCCTCCTCCTCCTTCTATTTCTCAGCATAGGTGTTTATTTACCTACATTTATTTACCTTCTCTCTTCTTTTCCTGTCTTAGAGGAAGATGTATCTTTTATTTTCTTCTGTTAAGTTAATCTCTTATGTTTTACTCGCCCCCCCCCCCCCCCCCCCCCCCCCCCCCCCCCCCCAGTTCTTGCTCTCTCAATAACTGCTTTCAGCACCTTCAGACTCTTTCTACCTTTTGGCTTTTCCATCTATAAAAAAGACCAGCTTTCATCCATCCCAGAAAAATATCCTTTATTTGATCCTGCTAGCTCCTCTGACATGCAACCTATTTCTTTACCTCCATTCAGATGTTAACATCTTGGATAACTGGCATGTAACTGCTTTTATTTCCTTGTTGCCCATGCTTTCTTTAAAGTCTTTCAACCTAGCTTTTATTCTCATTACTCTAACAAAGTAGCACTCACAATGTCCTTTATAGCTTACTCTTTCAGCTCTTTCTATGGCCTCCTAAAATGCCTCTCCCTCTCTACTTTCTCCCTTCTAACTTCTTTTGTATATCTCTATCATATCTTCCTGTTTACCACTACCATCTGTGACTGATTCTTCAGTGGTTTCTCTTTATCGACTAATATCAAGGCATTCATGTTCCTTTACAATCTAAGAAAATCAACTTTTTAGGCACTCAATGAATATTTATTGAGTACTTATGCTGAGCCACATGTATCCTCCACCCTAGAATGGTCTAAGAGCTTGAGTTAGAGGGATCTGAATTAAAATATTGTTGTCACTTTGGTCCTTTTGAAGTACAGTTCTGTATTCTCTAAGATGGGAATAGGTTTAGGAATACAGTGACAGCTTAACAAGATAACAAATAGTGTAACAAATATTAAAAAGGAATTTTGGCTGAAGCACTGAGGCAATAGATGCTATACAATGTTGAAGGACTTTCAAGAGGGGTGGATGAAAATAGGTTACACAATTCTTAATCTCTTATCCATACTTTGGATTTTTTAAAAAGTTGGTGGTTGACCACTAGGAGAGACTTTTTATTTTATTTTATTATTTTTAAAAATAATTTATTGTCAACTTGGTTTCCATATAATACCCAGTGCTCATCCCCACAAGTGCCCTCCTCCACACCCATCACCCCCCCTTCCCCTCACCCCCACCCCCATCAGTCCTCAGTTTGTTCTCAGAAGGAGAGAGTTTTTAGCATGTGCTTTTTGTGTATTATGAGTTCCACCTCACTTTACCCTTCTGCAGAGAAGTTTCCCTCTTCATCCTAAGTCAAGAGAGCAGTTTTAATGATACCACCTTGAGCACTTGCAGTTTGGGGAGTTCAGTAGAATGTTTTGTAACTCCTACTGGAAAATCTAAAGTATGAACAAGGGGCTGAGTAGCTGCTCTGATGGCAGAACAAAGGCAAGGTGGAACCATTGGATGGCTTGCACTCTGAGAGTTTGGTGGTGCACACATGCATGATCATTACACATAGACTAGAGTGAGCAGTGTAAAAGAGGGCCCATGTGGGTCACTTTAGATCTTGTCTAAGAGGGCTTCTTGAAGAGGTCAACAGAATTCAGAAGAAAGAAGGTGCAGGCATCTTGAGATGCCCAAGGGCAGAGGAAAGAGTAAATGACCTCCTGGAATAGAGATACATATGCCCTAGTCAAGGTGAAAGATTACTAGCCATAGTGGAGGGGGTCAGGAGGAATGGAGATCTCCAAAGAAACCACAAACATGCCCCTTGTGAAAAATAGTAAGCCTTAAATAATTGCCACATCCAGAGAATACCAATGCCAGATCACCACAACAGTTTTTGTCCAGGGAGAGCTTTCTTGCTTCCCTTACTCTTTCCCTTTCCCTGCACTAAAGGGTCACAAGTTAGCCAGACGACTGAAGAGGAAAGCTGAGTGAAACGGAGAGAACAGTGACCACCATTTCCCTAATTTCAGGGTTTGCATCTACAGTAGTGTCAAGTCTGGCAGGAGGAGGGGAGGAAAAAAGCCCTAACTTTAAAGCAAGATTGAAGCTCTGATGAGATGGGCATTTTGACTTCTAAATAAGCCTGTGTTTTGTGTTTTGAAGAGACTAAAAGTAGTTTGTATTACCTAGAGCAACCAGGTAAGTAGTTTTCATCCAGTAGTCCACACATGGGGGCCAAGTGGATGTTAGTTCCTAGACTCCCCCACATTAGTCTACATGTCCGCTTTGCACTTGACATGTATTTTTTTGCTTCTGTGGTTTTGATCTTTCCATTTCCTCTACCTGTTCTTTCCTTCTCACCACTTAAAAAATTAAATATTTAATTTTCATGGAATCTTTTCTTATCTTCTATCTCACAAATGACCCCCCCCCCCCCGAAATCTTACAATTGAGGTTATTGGGACCATGACAGGACACAGCTCTGGTGGCTTGTCTTCCCTCCATCGTCCTTGGGCAATTTCCTTCAAGGCAGGGATGTCTTACCTTGTATTCATAGTAGTGATTAAGTGAGGGCACATGGTAGAAACTGATCAATATCAGGATAAATAAAGAGGTATATGTTTCTAGGAACACCCTTCTGTCTTTACCAGGTCCCCTCTCAGGGATAGAAACCAACTTTCCACCTATGAAGCTCATTAGCACTTTCCTACACTGTAGGGTTGGGTACCAGGGAAGGAAGGGGATCCACCCATTTTGCAGTTAACTAGCTGAAGTGGAAATGGCCTGATTCTCAGCTTTCTTTGGAAACTTTCAGTCTGAAGTAGAGTCTGCTAGTGGGCTGAGCATGGCAGTGAGATGTAGCCCTGTCATACTGACATTGGGGCCATTGGCTAGCTTACTGCTGAGCTTTCTCCATCTTCCTACACTATATTTTAGGCCTGGGAAGTGAGAACAGTACTGGTTGCCAAGGGATGGCATCCCTAGCTCCTGAGGAGATCTACCAGGATCCCTCTTGGTATCAGCCCTTGAGGTGATTATCTATTCATTCAACCCATATTTACTGCATACCTACTCTGTGCTGTATTATTATATATACCTTCCCTGCCC